CTCTGCTCCTGTCAGTGGAGCTTTGGAATCTGGATCTGGTGGTGGAAAGGATAAAATCAAGAAACCTGGACAATATGACATCATTGGCCTTGATACAACTAAACAATTTTTGTTATACATTGCAACAGGTTAGATATCAAAGTTTTTCTATTTTTTGGCATGTTACATAACCTGACATTGCAACATGCAACCCTTGGCAGGAGGTGAAATTGAGAAAGATACTCGAATTCAGAAGACCATTCCACGCACAATTGGCCAGGTAATAGCTTGCAAGCAATCCTTCTATTAAATAGACTCTTTCAGCAATTGATCACCCAGAAGTGTCTTCTGTCTGGGTGTGCGTTCATGTTTCCCAATAAAAAGAGTTACTAAATTAACTTAAGAGGACCACCTGTTCAACTTTAAAGTCCACCAGAATATTCACATGCTGAATGCTTTGTTGTTAATCGAATTTTCTGTTGTATCCTTGTGTAGATGGAAATTAGATCTGACCGTATGGATGCTCATATGTATGCATTCAAAAGGTCTGTCTTTTGCTCTTGTTGCTCCTAGTTGATCCTACAAATTCAGTGTGCCTATCTTTTACTGAATCCTCATATATCTCCAGATCTGTTTTACAAGGAGTTCTTGATCAAAAGGATACATTTCAAAGCTTAAAACAGGATGTACTCCCATATCTTGTTTGGAGCCAGCTGGTTAGTCTAATAAGGCCCCTGAATACAAGGATGTTTATTGTACAACTTCGTTAGATCTCCAACTTATTTTTATGATTGTTTCTTGAGCATCAGAAATTAGAGGCTTTACCAAAATATACACCACTTACGGAAGAAAATGGAAACCAGAAGATCAGTACCCTGAATAACCAAGCAACCCTGTCTCGGATACTTGCTAATGCATCTACCCCAAGCTTTTATGAACTCTATGAATTGGGTCCTAATGGTTCTGCTCCTGTTTGGAAAACAAATAAATGTTGTGCTTATATTGCCAGCTATAGCAAGTACTATGTGCGACTAAATTCTGTTCAAGCATTCGTGGACATCAATTGAGATGTGAGTTTATGTGTTTCTTATTTGGGCCTGCTTATCTCAAACTACCAAGTTTTTCTGTTAGTCCAGTTTTTGTTCCATCGAGTTGAGCTTATTCTTTTAATATTTCAGGTCATTGGTGGGGCAAATCATCTGTCAGGGCATTCCTTCTCTGCCCATAATAACATCATACATCCTTCAGTAGAGCTTGGATCAAAAACTACTGTGAGTCCACTTTAATAGACAGGCGTATCTAACTTCATCATTGGTTTAGAGCATTGGATGATTATTATCTGTTTCTTGTATGTGTTAAATTGTTAGGTTGGCTAGTTCTAAGGCCAGTTCTCTAACTGATGGCTGTAGGTTGCACCACACTGTACGCTGGGAGAAGGTTCACAAATGGGTGATAAATGCAGCGTGAAAAGATCTGTAATTGGGCGTCACTGCCGGCTAGGTTCCAATGTAAAGGTAAAATTATTTGTCAATAAAATATGGTAGTAAATAGTTTTGGAAAAGTGATTCTGATGCCATCTGTATGGTGTATAAATGAGGCTAATATCAGCTTTTTTTCATTTGCGAAAGTTTGTAACGTGGAACCAAACTAGCGAGCATTAGCTAAAGTGGAAACCTCTAGTTTAAGAAGAGAAAGCTCCTGTACTCTCCCTTTCCTCCACTACTGCATGTTACGTTAATTTTCTTCTAGTCTCATAATTTAATATATGATTGATATTATTATTGGTTTAATTTATGTAGCTCTTTCTTAAATCTATACATAAATAACATAATCAATTAAAAGATTATCAAACTTTAGAAGCATTAAATTCAATAACAAAAACTCATCATATGAATAACTTTAATTGAAAGTATAAAAATCACAAAATTTATATTAAATTAATTAGGTTACATTACAACCTTAGTAAACTAAATTAGTTTATAATAAAAGTAATAAAACCTGAAATCATAGTTATAAATATAAGTATGTCAAACAATAGATAAAAGTAATTTAAAGAAAAATAAAATATAATTTGAAGAAGTTAACATCTTTAATTTTTTATTGTTAATTAATCATCTTTCCTGATTTAAGAGTGCCAAAAGAGGGCTACCATTAACCTCCAAAACTCTTTCAATCTTAAACTTAAATGGATATTTCTAGGATTTTAGAAAATCCAATTAGAAAGACCCACACCAAAATAATAAGGGTACGGATTTGCTGAAAATCGCATAAGAGCCAACATCCTCAACAAGGTGCCGACACCTTTAGTCAAGTGTCTCAGTTTTTGGCTTTTAATGCAATTTTCGTTAATTGTAAAATGACAGTCCTGATCTCTAACTTTTGAACTCCGTGTAACTTAATCCTCAGCTTTTTTATCTCTCCAATTGTGCACTAGAAATTATGATTTCTTTCAAAGAAGTCCCTTTCACACAAATAATAAAAATTATATAAAATTAAGTAAAATCTTATAAAACTTATTTAAATATCAATAATATTAGGGAAAAAATTTCACATTAATTTGTATATCAATTCAAGTCATCAATATACATCAAAGGTTAGTGATACTAATAAATTATTTTTTTTATTTTAGATTATATAATAAAAATAATTTTTTATATATCTTAATTTATTTTATTATATGTTATGTGATTTAAAATTAAGATTTTTTATTTTTAATAAATAATTATCATTTAGATATTTATGACGTTGGCAATTTTTAAGTGTAATTA